TGCCCATGCCCATGCCCATCCACTGTGTGTACATATGTTACAGACCTGGAACAGCTCCTGCTTGTTTGGCTGGTTTAGCACTTGCTACAGCAGACCTTCCTTTGTCCAGTACAGCACCATACAGATATCGCCTTCAACAAACAACCAATATCATCTATTAAGTTGAGGCTATGATTGCCTAAGAGTGCTGCAGCTCAATTGGGTGGGACGGAGCACCTTTATATATTATCTGGGCATAGGGCTGTTTTATCACAACAGTGCAAAAAGTGCAGCATTATAGCAGGAATTATAAGTTACTATAAATACACTGGTGATTATTGAAAATCTCGCGCGCTGATTGGTCGATAAACTCAGATTATCACACGACAATCACCTCTAGCGATAATCCAAAATGGCGGCCAGCCGTCTTGTTTCTGTTCCTAATTTTAAATGTGTCTTTTATCTTCCTTTTTTTTCTTTTTTTGAAAGAATCACCTCTGTATTTACACTAAAACAATTATTCACCTCAGGCTCAGTGAATATCGGGAAAATAAAGCTCAACGTTTCGGTTATTATTCCCCGATATTCACTTCGCCTTCGGCGAATAATCGTTAAATATTAATGCAATTCTGGTTATAAACCCTGGGCTTTGAGATTTTGTAAAGGGATTTTAAAAACTGTGCAGAAAGTTCCTATTGTTTGGTACACCAGTATGGCTGCCTTCTCGCGTGAGTGAAAACGCTCTATTATGACGGCCGAGAGGAAATTTACGCGACGGATGAGCTTTTAAGGACCCGTCCACACGTATCCGCAAATTTTACGAAAACGGATACGTGTGGACGGGTAAAACGATTCGAATACGCTGCGTGTGGACGCAAACATTTTCGTATCCGCAAAAAATAATTTGCGGACACAAAAATGTCCGGATACGTGTGGATGGGGCCTAAAACTACTATTCTATGGTATTTTAAAAACACATTTACCTGTCAGGGGAGTGTTGCAGAACTACAAACTGTAAGTTAGTAACAGAGAATTCTTTAGTTAGTTCCAAGTGATTTTTCATGATAGATAAACGTCGCCAGGCCTGGAATAAGACACACATACATTACCACGATGACACGAACTGAGCAAAATGTCTTGGAGCAAAGTTTGAGATTTGACGCTGAAAAAGCGGTGGAAGATAGACGGAGTTTGTACATCAATGTAGCGATATGGTCATGAATGTAAAGCGCATCCAGACAATGGGAAATACGTTATATGTGAGAACCTCCCATTATATAGATGTTATTACACTGCTTGTTGAGTATTACAGCCGGCTAATTTTACGAGTGAAAGCGGCCGTATTTTTTGAGCCCCGCAGATGGTTGAATCACGAGCTCAAACTGCTAACGTGAGCTGCACAAAGGAAAAGGAGAAATTCTCCTCACGCTTACAACAGCAAAAAAAAGAAGAAAAACCATTGAAAACCGGTTCACAGATCGTGTATTATCGCTCTGTAATTGCATTCGAAAAAAATGGTAGTAATACACAGGAAATCGAGTGTCGTATAATAATCATTTCTATCGTAACATTGAAGTAAGGAAAAGTGGTTAGAAGTAAAGAGCACAAATAAAACTTGTCAAAAAGATGTTAAAAAGAAATCAAAATTAGCTTGTGGAAGTGTTGACGGGACGGCGCGTAGCACAGTAATATTTCAAATAGTTAAACAAGTTAAATTAAAAAATGCTCACTTTTTTCCCCTCCAACCATTCCTACCTCGATGGGATTGTAATCCATTTTACGACCCTCCCTACTGCCCATACAAAGTAGAACTCGGTGTAGTATGTAGATAGAGTTGCTACTTGGTTCTCCCTGTGTTCTCCGGTTGTCCTCCCTCGACAAACGTCAACAGATTTAACTGATTCCTATTGGATTCAGTGGACGAAAGGACGGAAATGCCACTGTGCTAAATGCCATTTCATTTTATTATTAATATTTATTTATTTATTTCGAACGCCAGACTGAGAGGATATTAATGTTATTTACCTCACAGTCTCCAAGATTATTGTGATTTAAAGATACGACAGCAGACGAGTGTTCGGTCAAATAGTCGACAGTACTGAAGAACTTGCGTTGTCTCAATAAGGCTGCTAGTCGAGACACGGCTGGGTCTGCTTGTGCACGATACAGTACCTTCTCTAAACACTGAGACATATAGCAGCTCTGTGAACAAAGCAACCAAAACAATCAGAAATGAAATATACATATTTAGCATATACCAACTTGTGTACTTCCTAAGAACGAGCGCGCTCATTGGTTAATTGGAGGTGAATATTGTACGATATTCACCTCTGAATCTCGGAATATTGGGTCGGCAACAAAATAATTAATTTAATTAATTAAATTAAAATGGCATTTGCCGGCAATCGTTTTGCTACAATTTCCGATGAGGAAATTGAAAAAAATGAAAGTAAATGCCATTCCTATCAATACTAAAAAGGCAACGAAGTATGGCCTAAATGTTTTGCTAAAAGTTTTGCGTGAATTTGTCTTTTTGAAGTTTCTGTTTGTTTGTGTGTCTCGGTATATATTCCTCGATATTCACTTCGCCTTCGGCGAATAATTGTTAAATATATATATATGTGTATGTAAATGTAATTACACAGTCACGTTTATTGGCTTAAGGTTCAACACGGGATTGGAAGGAAAGGACGGGTGAGTGGGTGAGAACTGAAAAAAAGGATGTAGGAATATGAAACAAACCTGATAGAGAGCGAGATACTGCGCGGATGAAGCTGGGTCATGTGTACCTATGCACTCTACAAGCTGATGACTGGCCTGGCTAACTATATCCTGTAATCAATTAAACAAATACTTAACATTAGTATACGTCATAAACAGTGGCATTTCCACAGTGGCTCTTCATTCAATCACAGGGAGCCCAATTTAGATTAAAGTGAATGGTGAAAATAAAATCGGAAAAATTAAATAATTAATTATGTATATATATCTTATGTATATATACTCTGACAAGGGAGGAAACCACAGTCGCCATATTTGAACAAACAACTCACTTTGAACCACGATTTCATCGTCTTTTAAACCTCGAACTCCACAAAAAACTTGATCAAAATGATCCCTACGATGGGGGATTCATTTATTTAAAACTCTTTTGGCTCTTCCTACAAGATTTCTATGAGTGAAATTTTCGTGCAGAAAATTTTTCGCATGCAGAAAATTTTCTGCCATGTTATGTCAAAGTTACTACTTGCGTACGACTCGGGCGAGAACGAATTTCGACCTTACTACTCTCCCGCACAGGATTTTTGTAACGTGTACACGACGTTCTTGAAAAATCCTTCCACAAAGTTCTCTATGGTCGACATTTTTTCGCTTTTTTGGTTGGTTTTACTTGTCAAATGAAAGATAACTACAGATAACTCAACACGATATCAGATTTAGTGAAAATTACAATGGATGTCTTTCATTTAACTTGAAATTTTGGAGATTTCCGTGTACTTTTTCAGGAGAAAACTGCATCATCATGAAAGCTGGTAAAATCGATTATTCTCCTCTTTAAATATAAAAATGGTTTCTCAATTTTATTAAATTTGCGTTTTTCAATTTTGCGGCAAGTCAAGTTGGATGCGCACGCAACCTTGAGAGAACGGTCTATTAGTATGTAGTAAAAGTTGTTTCGGAAGGAGGAAATCCGAAAAAGCCGGAGAAAAACCCTCGAATCACGGGAGAGAACTAACGAGAACTATTTACATACGACACCGAGTTCTGGACTCAAACCCACGAGCTCGAAAAAATATTCAAATATTCCGTACTGCACCTTAAAATGACATATTTTTTACCATATAACACCGAAGAAAATATGCATATAACACCGAAGAAAATATGTCATTTTCTAATTCCGATTTTGACGCGTTCACTGAAGCCAATTTTCAAATACTGACTGGACCTATATAACTTACCCGTAATCCTCCCTTTAACGCTATCTGCACAGCCTGTGATAAACATTCAACCGCTTGACACAGATATTTCCTGGATGTAGTGTATACTCGCTGAAACACGATAAAGATTAATATAACTTGAGACAAGGGTTTGTCTATGAATACTTACATCTGCAGTGTGACTGTTCTAGAATATATTTAGGAAAAACACTGAGATTGGGTGCGTGTGTGTCCCTGTGTTTGTAGAAAACGGGTCTAATTTATTTTTTGCCGAAGGGCAGGGCGTGATTGCGCAAATCTCCAAAACTAGTGACTTGTGTTTAAGCTGTCGACGTCAAAATCGAATTTATTAGAATTTAGAAGTTGATTCTGTCTTGTTCGAGTATTCTCATACGATGTATATTCAGGATAATCGTCATTAGAGCTAGTATTACTAATAGTATACTTACATTGAGGTTGAATGCCTGTGTAGTATATTTAAGGATTTCCCGTGATTCATTTGTATTTGCCTTCATGACGCCATCCAGACCTTGGCTGTTCTCTTTCGATTCTTGACTTTGATTTTCTATAGTTTCTTTCTCCAAGTCAAGTGTACGATTCTAAAAGGAAGAAGACTTGAGATAAAGTTATGCACTTTTAAGACAGTTTGGGAACTTTGCCACTAAGATTCGTGTTCGTGCCATTTGGAATTGGGTAAATTAAATGAATGGCGCATTCAGTTTTCCATAGTTCACGCCAGTAAGAATACCATTCCTGAGAACTAGTATTATTGATTGACAGAGTTACCCTCTTTTTTTGTTCAGGTCAATTTGAGTTTGGAATGCGAGAGTCTTGAGTGCTATCCGGGTAAAAGGGACTTTAAGATCTGCAAAATCTGCGACGGTGACGTCAACCAGAAGTTTAAATTACTTCACTCTGGGGTTTCGAGTCTTTAAAGTCTTCCCTGTGGATGAGTTGACTTTACTGACAATGTTTTGAATAAAATCTCCAATGAACAGAACCCTAAAGAGAAATTATTTACACTTCCGGTTGACGTCGCCGTCGTCGATCCCTAATACCTGTTCGAGTTCTTTCCACTGATTGTCAGCATCTGGTGACGAATGAGCTGACAGTGCTCTGAGACAAACCCCCAGGCTATGCATGACCTATTGGTAAAACAATTAAGAAATGTTATAAAACCTTTAATCCCTGTTTTTTCCTGATTCAGGTTAAAATTGCCCTA